GATTATCTTCTGTGTCTGTGTTAATTGGTTTCCCTTTTCTTTGTTGAAGAGGGTCTGTGCAATCCTTCTGCCTAGTCCTCCATCTTGCCGGAACCGCTAGAGATCTTTTTACATTAAGAAGATTATTGAAGAATTATTAATAAAATTTTGAAGTTGGATATTTAGTAAGAAATTAAAGAAGTAATAGTTTACATAAATTATACAGAAAGGGGGAAGCTTTAAGGATTGGAAATGTGCTGGTTGCGTAGATAAAATTGATAAGAAGGTTTTAATTTAAGAAATGGGAATTAACAAGCACAATACAATGGTGAAAATGAGATGGACTGTGAGATTTTTCTTTTTAGATTTTTCTTATCTATATATCTGAACACAGATTGTAAGATTGTTACAGTTACAAAAGACAAAAACCATTTGGCCTAAGAAAAGGAAATAGGGGACAGTAAGTAGTGAACATTAGGTCACATGTTATCTATGTAATTCTATTTGAAAGACCTCCTAAATAAAACCAGAAAAACCAAACCCACTGCTGTTGAGTCGGATCCAACTCATAGCGACCCCTCCTTGGGTTTCCAAGGCAGAATCACTATGGAAGTAGATTGTCAGTGTTCCTTCCAAAGAGTGGCTGGTGGGTTTGAACTGTCAGTCTTCTGGTTAGCAGTCAAATGAATTAAGCACTATGCCACTAGAGCTGCTAAATACATATGCTTTTTGAAAAACTTAGTTTGATGATTGTTGTTATTGTTGTTATATGCCGTGGAGTCGGCCCCGACTCATAGCGACCCCTCCTTGGGTTTCCGAGGCAGTATCACTACGGAAGTAGGATTGCCCAACCTTCCTTCCGAGGAGTTTGATGAAGGATATTATAATAACAAAATTTCGATTTAATTAATTGAAAAATAGTACTTTAAAATCTTTCTAAGAAAACTATTACCATCCAAAATACTATTTATTTGACATTTCATTTAATACATCAAGCATAAAACTGAGCTTTCTCATTCCTGAAGATGAACACTGAGTCATGCAAGGTCACTAACTAGAGGATGGGAAGAGATGACAGACTGAGAGACTGTATTTAGTGCTGCCACTTGTCACATTTTCTCATAAATGCCTATTTTAAAATATAAAATCAGTTCAATGCTGAGAAAGAGATAAGGCTGAAAGCAAACAGACTGAAATGTGCTACTTCTATAATATTCAGAACAAAGTTCAGTGTTAATTTTGGGTGCTTTATATCAATAAGTAGTAGAGGTTAAGTATTTCTACGTTTTTTACGCTTGGCTTAAATGGCAACCAATTTATGTCTCTCTGCAAAGTTCGTAATAACACAAAATGCTATTTTTTTCATAATTCTGTTTCTATTTATTTTTCTTTAAAAAAACCATTTTATTGTGATTTGGGAGGTTTCTAGAGTAAATTCATTTTCCATTCAATAGTTCATACACATTTTATTTTGTGACATGGATTGCAGTCCCCACAATTCAACAGCACTCGTCTTACTTCCTCCCTGTGTTTCTGGTTTCCATTGCTCCTTTTCCTATCCCCTCTTGCCTTCTGAGCTTTATCCCTGGGCAAACGCTGCCCTTTTGTCTTGTATGGTGGATTGTTCTAAGGAGTACATACTTTCCTGGCGTTATTGTTCACCTTCTGGGCCTGTCATTTGGCTGAAAGTTGAGTCAATGGTGTGATTCGCTTCCAGGCCTGAAGGGTGTCTTAGGGCCATAGTCTCAGAGTAGTCAGACTATGATGTATGTAAATAGCTGCCACTTTCTAGCCCTTTACTTTAGTAAATATTGACATAATTTTATTTGCTAACACATTAGCTGTTCTAAGATACAGTTGGGAGGTCTGGTGGGGTAGTGTTAAGGCATTTGACTGCTAACCAGAAGGCTGGAGGTTCAAACCCACCAGCCACTCCTCAGAAGGAAGATTGGACTATCTACTTCCATAGAGATACCGCCTCCGAAACCCAAGGAGGAGTTGGAGATGACTCAATGGCATATAACAACAATGACATCAAGATACTGTTTGTAAAGACACTTTGTTTATACATATATTACCTGTTTTATTCTATTGTAGCAAAGTTAAAGAAAATAATATATAGGCAGGTAGTGATAACCTAGTAGTTTGCCTTGACTGCAACATCTCCTAGCAGACTCTGTGACAAATATTTCCCCTTTGTTTTCCAAGATACTAAAACTGTCCTATTTTTCTTTGCAGTTTTTCTTTACATCTTTTGGTGCCAGGGATAGAAGTTACCTCAATATCTTCAGGTTATGGCAGAATGCATTATTAGACAAGGTAAGTGTTCATATCAGAGGCAGATGCTTATTATAATAGCAACTTCCCAGTGTGCACTTAAACAGTGTTTGTTAATTGAAGAGCTGCTTTTTATTTTTCTTTACTTAATTTTGATTAAACCAAACTCCAAACTCACTGCCCTCGAGTTGGATCTGACTCATAGTGACCCCTCCTTGGGTTTTCGAGGCGGTATCACTATGGAAGGAGACTATTCAAATTTCAAGAAAAAACTTAAAGCAAAACAAAGCTCATAGTTATAACTTAACATGTCAATTGTGATCCCTAATTCAGCTACCAAGAAAACAACTTTAAAAAATACAGTAAAAGGAATTAAAATGGTACACTAGGAAATAGCTATTTAATACAAAAGAAAGCAGTAATGCAAGAGTGGAGGAACAAAAAAAGACATGATATATTGAAGACAAATAGCAAAATAGACATTACATTAAATCATGGATTAAACATGCCAGTCAAAAGGAACAATTTGGCAAAATGGAAGAAAAAGTATAATCCAACTTTATATTATTTATAAGACAAGCATTTAGGTTCAAAGACACAAGTATGTTGAAAGTAAAAGGATGGAAGATTATATACCATGCAATAATGAAGATATACCAGTAGCAATTAAGAGAAATGAAGTGACTCTATTGATATGAGACAAAATAGACTTTAAGACAGAAATTGTTACTACAGACATAATTAAAAAAAAAAAATGAGTCATCCATCTGAAATACATAACAATGATAAACTTATATGTACATAACAATGGGGCCCAAAATGCATGAAGCAAAACTTGATAGAATTGACAACAATGAGATACCATCTTGCCCCAGCACCAGTAGCAAAGTTCAACAAGACAGAAAATAACAAATGCTGGTGAGGATGCGGAGAGATTGGCACTCTCATACACTGCTGGTGAGACTATAAAATGGTACAACCACTGCAGAAAACAGTATGGTGATTCCTTCAAAAGTTGGAATTAGAAATACCATTTGACCCA